GTGAACGTGGCGGAGGGACATGGTCTACCAATACCGGCGTGGAAACGGCCAATAACTGCGACGAACCCCTCTTTCGGAGTTGCCTGATCTTAAGGGTCAAATAAAGTTTACTTCGCCTTCACCTCCGGAAACGTCAGTCACTCTTACTGACTTAACATTGTCAACTGCTGTTAACTCTTACTGACTTAACAGCAGGCAATGTTTCGTGCCCTCAACCTCACTTTTCAAGATGAAGTGATGGCGTCAGCCTTGGCGACATACATCGTCGATGGTGGATGCTATTCCTCCCTTCCACTCGCTACCTACCTAGCCATAGGCAAAGAGCCATGGCTCTGGCATCAGTGATGAGTGTTTTATGTACTTATATGGTATACCAAAAGCTATTATATATATATATATATATATATATATATATATATATATATATATATATATATATATATATATATATATATATATATATATATATATATATATAATAAAACTGGAGCTCAATATGGCACCATAGTTGCACCCCACCACTGGTGTTCGTGAAAGCAATAATGAAATAAAACAAAATCTATCAACTGATGAAATGAGAACTATAGGGCCCTCTTCGCGAAAACACCCTATACAAGCATAATGTCGGGCAAAAAATCTTGTTTAGATATGTAATTTAGCGTCCTATGAAAAACCAGCCAGCCTGTGCGGAAGGTGCGGCACTGTCACAGCGCAAGCTGGAAGAGCGGCCGCTCAGAGCATTTTTTAGACACTATTTAAGTAACTATCACTCACAATTGAAAGGTACCCCCTACGCCATTAATCATTGTGTAGTAGGCAGGTATTCATTATGCCATCCTTTGTCATTCTTCAGAGAAGCCTGCTACCTGCTGAACACTTGCAGGCAACTTTGTGAAATTTTTGTATTGTTGTGCTTGACGACGATGAAGAGTTATGACAGAAGCATTTGTAATCTTCAAAATTCCTACAGTGGGTACGCGCTATAGCTATTATGTCAAGGTGGTCAAGCTTTTGTAAATGGTTGGAGCGTTCGACGACCCACTTTTTTCGCAATTCGCATTATGTGAGACTTGATTGTTCTTTTGCTGTTCTAAAACGCTTTATTCTTGATATTACGCGATTCCTTTCCCGACATCAAGCTTCGATGAGGCCAGTTTTCAAAGGATTTCCAAAAAAAAAGCACCGTGGCTCAGTGGTTGAATACTGGGCTCGTACGCAAGAGACCCAAATATAAATCTCAAAATAAGTCCTTCGTGCGATAGTGGTTATGGACACCGGCGGCGGTGGCGGACAACTACGGTGCGCACGTGAACCGTATTGTGATCCCATAACAGAACTTGCTGCAAAATAAAACACTAACTAGGGATAACCCCTCCCCCCTCCCCTACATAGTCCCTAGTGCATTCGGAAATGCAGCCGTAGAGTTGATGTCAATAGTGTTTCCAGACTTTTAAAATGTCAGAAATGTTTAAGTGTAATAGAAAGAAGCTTATGTGATTTGCGAAGGGCTAGGCTCCTGTTTAGGAAAAGAAGCAATCACAAATGAATCACACAAGCCACGCACATATTGCACAACTTCAATTGGCGAACATGTCTGCCAACAGCTGGACGGGATGGTTATATATCTTGACAGACAGGTTTATTTACAGAAAGTCAGAGAGGGTGGCTTGAGCGACAGCCTGCTCGAGTCGCTACTTTACACTGGGGGAGGGGAAAGGGGAGAAGAAATAATAATGGATGACGATGGTGAGATATAGAGGTGAGTATATACAATATTTTCCAGCTGAGAAAAATGTTATAGCCATGCATATAGCGCAGTTGCTTCCAAAAAGACTATAACCACTCTTATGACCACAGTTGCACTGTTGGTGTCTGGCCAAGGGCCCAACATGGTCTGATCAGTTAATGAGCTACTGCGAAATCGTTCATTAGAATAAATCAGTGTTTGTCGTTCACGTGCGTATGCTGGGCAGTCACAAAATATGTGCTCAAGTGTTTCTGGCACATCATAGTGTTCACAATTGGGGCCAGTGTCACTGCGACCGGTGATATGTGCGTAACGTCTTGTGTACGCCACACCAAGACAAATGTGGTGGTTTGTGCATGCAATGTGCCGCTTTCATTGAGGGGGCATGCGGAACCTCATTTCCGGATCCATTTGTGAAGTCAGTGGTGTCGCCCTTCCGGTTTGGTCTAGTGCTGAAATGCGTAGTTGCGCATCACGCAGCGAAGCAGGGCGTTCGTGTCAGCTTGTGAAAACGCAATGCGTACTTCAGGGGCACTGTTTAAGGAAGTTTTAGCTTCAGCGTCACCCTCTTCATTTTCCATCACGTCGTAATGCGTGGGAATTCACTGGAAAGTGATAAGATGGCCATTTGTTGAAGCGTCCTGAATAAGTTCTGCTATTTCTGTTACCAAGACGTAAAACGAACCTTGCCTCATGATGCAATTATAGGTTTGCGAAGCGGGTTTGGCATCACAGAAAATCGTCCAGGCTCTAGGTTGCTCTCCGAAAATAAATATTATTGCCTTCCGGATAGCGACAAGCTCTGCGGCAGTTGATGTGGTTTTATGGTTCTCTTTGAATCGTCGAGCGATATTCATGTCTGCGATGACAAAGGCTGCGGCAGAAGTGTTTGGTACTGTGGACTCGTCGGTGTACACGTGCAGAGAATCAGCGTACATTGCTGATGCACAGACGCCTGTAGTCTTTGAACATTCCTGTTAATTTTTCTTGAGATATGCATTAACTATTTTGTCGCCTACTGCACAAGCTAGAACCCTCACCTATAATTTTTCCGCCGCGATGCTTAAATCGTTCATAAACTATAAAATATATACTTTAATTGTTGCTATCACTACTCAGTAGTCCGAGACAATGTGAATGTACATGTTATGGTACGTAGAGCCCTGTCCACATCTGAGCAGAGCTTGTGAGTAGGCGGTTTCTCCTCTGCGAAGTGAGACCTGGCGGCAGTTTTGAGCTCCCGCGTGACGTGGTAGGCCAGACGCATGTGCAGCCCATTCACCACGTCAGGGCCAGCAACGGCCGCAAAGTGTCGTCCCACAGAGAAGAAACGGAAAGTACCGGCTGCTCGCGTTTTCTTCCCAGGCGTGAACGCGACTGTACGTAAGCGTTTAAATATGTGGCACCAAAACTTTGCTTAAGTATGCTTTCCGTTAACAACAACGCAATAAAGTATTCCCGTAAGACGATAACATCAACTAGCATATATAATTGCTAACAGCCCCTGCTACCTTTCAGAAGTTCAGTAATAAACTACTATTTATTCCTCACGCGAAATAGGCCGCAAGCATGACAAGTTTCTCTAAGCTCCATCAAGCGTGGATTATAGATCATTTATTTCTTATTGCAGGCATAGACGGTGAGTCACCAAGCAGGAAAATTATGATCTGATTAAAAGAAGCTCGGACACTGACCACGAAAATAAATACGAAAGAGATTCTTGTTCATAATGAGAGCGAAGGCGATTGAAGCAATGTTGAGGGCTTCAAAATATAACGTAAGCAACGGGTACAAATAAAACCTTGGACCATCTCCCCGAAGAGAACCCTGATCGAACACGCAGGAGCAGCGCTGCGCACAGGTGGCGTCAGGGTTGAACGGCACTCACGCGCGGGCTGCGGTGGCCGGCGTAGGTCACGTAGGTGACACGTACAGCCGTGTTTCGTCGTGTACGTTAGGTGCCCGTCAGGTTTATTGCGAGTGAACCGACGAGTCGGTGGTGTAGCGAGTGACGGTCGCGGCAGGTGTTGCGGGTGAACAAACGAGATGGCAGCTGCGGGCGCCACGGCGTGCGCACAGTTGGCGAGGGAGACAGTGACGCCAGCGCTTACTGCGAGGGGAGCATGACGTCAACGCGCAGCAGCGGCGTCACCTACTTGGCACCGCGCCAACACCTGCGGTGCGGTATAGAAATCTTTAACGAATGAACGAATATAAACAAACTAACTAATATAACTTGACACCGCGCCAGCACATGCAGCGTGTTATAGAATAAATTAAAATAACCAATATAACGAATTAACTAATAGAACTTGGCACCGCGCCAACAGCAGCGGCGCGGAGCGCGTTTGTAGTGAGGGACAGTGCCAAGGCTGGTTCACGCTTGCGGCAAGCATGCCCTGACGGTGCAGAGCCATAGACCAAGTGGCCGGCACCGTCCGCAGGAGAGCTGTTTGAATTGCACGGCAAAGCCCTCCAACAAACATGGCTGCCCTTCCGAATGGAGTTGTCGACCGCCTCGAATACATCAAGCGGCTGTCGTGCACTCCGTAGCTTGTAAGCTCCAAACTGAAGCTCCCAATTGCGTTAGGCTCATGTCTTTTAGCTTCAACAACACAGTACTCGAATCAATTCGGCACCATTTATGAGAACCATACTCACAGAATAAATGTTCTAGGCATAAGGAAGCCTTCCGAAATCTTGGAGGGCATATGTTACAAGTTTGATGTTGGTAACGCTGGATACCTAGTGCCAATTGCGCAAACGCCTGCTTTGGGGACGTCATTTTGGATTGCTGTGCACTTTTTAAAATACCGGACAGGCGAACATACTCTATTCACTGCTGGAACGTAGTCTGGGAACAACACGTACGACATATCGTGAAAACCACGGAGCGAGAAGCAAGCAGCTCGAAGTGTCCCGCGGCAGACGCAGACAATGCGGAGAGGCGAAAGCAGACGACCGGACTCAGCCATGTCGCTTCTCTGTCGCTGATTGGTTAAACCCCTCTCCGGCAAACGGAAGACGGGACAAAAGTGGGTCTCGGGCCTATTTTTTGAACAGCAGACGTGCGCGAAGCAAACAGCCGCGCACGGCTGCCTGAGAACGTCAAACGTCAAACAGCGAGGCATGCTTGCCGCGAGTGTGAACCAGCCTTTACACGGGCTAGTCAAAAGCTGTTTCGCATATGAATATTGAACAAGCGAATAAAATGAAGCTTTGCATGCAATCACAGTAATCGTGTTTGGTTTTCTTAAGGGAGCGCATGTTCGGAACTAATCCTATCATCGTCAGAAGGCTCGAGCTCTTCCGGGCGAAGAACGGAATCTTCGAGGGTCGTGTTCACTGTGGCGCCGTGGTCTTCGTCGATCCAGTGTCGACTGCTCGATGGCAGCTCTTCAGCGCTTGCGTGAGACTCGGCCCTTTGAAGCCACGGCTTGAACTTATAGCGCACCCAGCGCTGAATCACCGCGGCCGCAGCATTTTTCTTGCATAGCTCATTCACTCCTGTTCCTGCGAATAATTGTAAATAAAGATGGACGAAATACCCTGCATTTGCTGAGGCATGGTGCCGGGATAGTTGGTATTGTGTTCAGATATCTATATGGTGTATTGCAGCACCACTGGGACAGACGACAAACAAGAACACAAGCTAATTTTCAAATTAGAGTTAACTTTGCGATCACGCACGCTATTCACACGGTGAATGTATATCGAAAGAGCCGAGGGATCAACATGCAAAGATACAGCACAAAGCACGCACGTGTCATCACAAATAACGATAATCTGCACCCGCCTATGTGAAAGCGATGACCCCAGATGCCTCTTTCCCTTAACCGACAATGCAAAGAAAGGCACACTAACACATTTTATTATTGTCTATTTCGTAGACTTCAATTAAACCACGCGTATTTGGGAGGTTGGAGCTACATAGAACTTTGAAACATGGGGCCCCATCACACCTCTGAGAGAAAATTCCCAAATGACCACATACATCTTTTTGTGCATTGTGCGGTTGTTCCCCAAGTCCTTGTTTTATAAACTTTCCAGGTAGGTCTATGTACACGCCTTCACATGTCGAAGAAATACAGTACCCAATGTCGTGATTGCAATCAACAATTTTTTCCGCTGCTTAATGATACTTATGATCCCAATTCGCGCTGCTGCCCACATTAATCTTTTTGCACATCTCTTGTAATCATACAGAAAGATGATTACAAGGTGCCTTGGTGCGTAAGGTAAAAGACTGTTGTACCGATATGCATCCCACTGAAGACGCCCAAGACAGCCTGACGTTCGACCTTTCGCGTTGTCGTACAATTCACTGCCATCTGTAGTCAATCGGCTTCTACAGGAATGCTTTTCTAAACTAGAGCTTTAAACGCGATTTCTTTTCAAACTTCGGCGACTTTGAGCGTATCTATCTATCTATCTATCTATCTATCTATCTATCTATCTATCTATCTATCTATCTATCTATCTATCTATCTATCTATTCTATCTATCTATCTATCTATCTATCTATCTATCTATCTATCTATCTATCTATCTATCTATCTATCTATCTATCTATCTATCTATCTATCTATCTATCTATCTATCTATCTATCTATCTATCTATCTATCTATCTATCTATCTATCTATCTATCTATCTATCTATCTATCTATCTATCTATCTATCTATCTATCTATCTATCTATCTATCTATCTATCTATCTATCTATCTATCTATCTATCTATCTATCTATCTATCTATCTATCTATCTATCTATCTATCTATCTATTACTATCTATCTATCTATCTATCTATCTATCTATCTATCTATCTATCTATCTATCTATCTATCTATCTATCTATCTATCTACTATCTATCTATCTATCTATCTATCTATCTATCTATCTATCTATCTATCTATCTATCTATCTATCTATCTATCTATCTATGGTATCGATACCAAACCTGGTATGGCATAGCGTGACTGCATGAAGAACATATTTGACTAGTCAGAACATGAAAATCATGGCATGCATGTCATGAATGTCATGATTTACATTTAATGGTCCTGCATTTCTTGCGGTGGTTTCATTCCCATGGCATGTTGCAAAACTGGTATGGTATAGCACTGATTGCATGGCGAAAACAAGTGACAGACCCCAACATGCAAATCATGACATGCGTGATATGTACCAACATGACTACATGCCACGCTCATAATGCGCTCGCGGCCGTTTCGATAGCTTCAGCATGTGCCAAACTCGGTATTACGCGACGTGAACGGACGACATAGGTATATGACACATACAAACATGATAATCATCGACATGCGTCTCATGCGAACAACATGACTACATGCCACGCTCATGATGCGCTTGCGGTTGTTGCGCTAGCTTCACTTATACCAAATTTGGTATATCGGACGTGAATTGATGACGGAGATATGATATTGGTGCAAGCATGATAATCATGAAATGCGTGTCATGTGAGAACAAGACTACATGCCACAGTCAAGGCGCCAATACATTTCGACGAGACGCGGTGCGCGTGCTCGCTGGCATTCATTTTTTCGTGTCAACCCGGCGTCGCCACGCCAGGCGCCGGTCCTGCCATATACTCGCAGGCGCGTGCTGTGCTGCGTTGCTTTTACATATGCGCGTATCAGCGCGTCTAGCGTCCTCCGTCACGAAAAAAGGGAGACGCAGTGTTCTTTGGGTAACGCATCAGCGTGACATGCAGCATGTCACATTTCGCGCTGGTTGCCGTCGGGCCACGTCGATGGACGCTGGTCGCGCCTGGCGTAAGACTATAAAGTGCTCGGGTTTGCTAACGTTGCGTCGCTGTGCTCAGCGTGCGCGCGCGTCACCACTATATTGGAGTATTACAGGCCCTTCATGATACGCTCGCTGCCGTTTTCCTAGCTCCACATGTACCAATTTGGTGTTACGTGACGTCAATTGATGACAAAATATATGACTGGTGCAAACATTGTAATCCTGACACATGCGTCATGTAAGAACTTGACAACATACCGCTCTCATTACGTGCTCACTGCCATTTCGCTAGCTCCACATATACCAAATTTGGTATCACGCGACGTGAATAGATGACGAAGGTAAACGACACATCCAAACATGATAATTATGACAAGGAAGTCATGTACGACATCATTTACGACCCCCTCGTAAAGTTGTGCTGATCTTAAAGTGACATGTCAACCTTTCTCATTCGTGCTTCGCATATCATCGATTCCCACTGTAAGTGGGATCCGCCAATTTTTTTTTCGACTCGGGTCCTAAAATCGGCATTGGAAAGCTCGAATTTCGGGCGCTCCAAGAGATTCCCCGGGGTCGTGACGTAAATGAAGGCAGTGATTGGTGCTTTCGAGAGTTAAAAGTTTATTTGGGTGATCCTGTGCCCGCAAACTGAAACGCCACTCTCGAAGCAATACGGAGAACATAGCGGCGGCCGTCACAGATAATCATTGGGACCCGCTGTTTTTTATACATTATGCATCGAACTTTCCAGCCTCATCACTGGTGGTGGTCGCATAAGCACTGGAATTAGCTTGACTGTTTGCATCCTGCATTTATTGGCAGATTCGACGTGACCCACGAACTCTACGCCGGAGCACTACACTCTGGCGGAGGGGATAGCTCCGGCGTAGAAGAGAATATACCAATGGAAAAGAAGAAAATCTACCAATGGAACACACGCGCTCCTTCTGGAGCTAATGACAGGGTCAGAATGAAACGCGAACAAAGAGGAAGTTTGATTCGGTAAAGGTAATCCCTTGCTCACCTTTCGAGTAGATGTAACCGCCTTCGTGCCGATTACTGCCAGTGTCTAGACGAGCCATCTCCGATATGCTGAACACGGACTTCCAATCGACGGCTACGGCGTCAACCGGAGGCGCTGGCGATGGCTCTACCTCACTCGTATTTTTCTTGTGAGTGCTGTTACAGCACCTCCTGGGCAAGACGTGTTTACTAAGTTAGGATTGCCTTTGAAACTTCAAGTGTGCAGGCAAATATTTCGATGTCACGCCAAATCATCATTAACAGCCTAACAATTATCATTATCATGACACCATTATTATCCCAACAACGCCCCTCACAACCTTATCAGTCAGAAAAGCCTATTGAAGGGCAAAGGCCCTTCAGTGGGCTTTTCACCTCATGCGCTTCCCATGCTCCTGTGATCCACGTAAACTTTCCAAAATATTCCGCCAACTTTACTTTCTTACTCCTTTAGGCACTCTGACCTTTCCTTGAAGTCCGTTCGGTTACGCTTAATGACCAGTAATTTTCTTGGCATGTCGTTATGCTCTCTGTTAATGACCACTTCTTTTTAATTCGACTAAGATATCCTTAGCATGCGCTTTTTTGAGACCTATTCCACCCTTTGTTGAAATTAGCAATTAGAGGAGATAACAAGTGACATCAAGATGCCTTGCTTGGCGGTGTTAATATAGACTATGGTGTCGCCGTCTAAAATCTGTGCCAAATGAGCCTATAGGATCAGCTTGAAAGTATTCAGTAAGCTTGTAATACATTTGTTGCACCTCGTTTTGACCTGATTGCAATATATGAGTAGCACTATAATTATTAGATTCCTTCAAAACTGCAGTTCAAAACATATACTTAGAATACCACAAATGGGCTGCATGATTCAGTGATCAGTTAATCCCTACATCTATCTTAAAATAATATAAAGATGGCGCCTACATTGCCATGATGATGCAGAATATGGCCGTGAAAAGCATGGAAACCGTCTGGTTGGTGAAGCCCTGCAACCAATGCTTATTTTTCATAGCGTCCCAGGCTTCTTGAAGCAGTGCTTGCACGTCAGGGGGTACCAGTGTGTCCATCATGTGCTCGGACAAAAGTGTTTGCACCCTCAACCAAAGGCGCTCTGTCATTGAGTGAAATAAGAGAATGAAACAGAGTGCCGTAATTAGCCTCCTATAAAAATGGATATCACTACATTGCACAAATAATATATAAGTACTGCACACTTTAAAAACGATATACGCACAGACATCTGAATAAGGAGAAAACAGGTAAAATATATATACCCAAAATTTGGAAGTGGTGTATATTTTAATTAAAAGGAAGTAGCTTGATGAGGTTAGAACGCCAACTTTAGTAGGCTATTTTGCACCATCAAACCCACATCCTGTATACAGAGGTGCCTCTTACTCTGTGTTAAGCTTAAGGAACTCTAATATGATATTAGATCTTTAATTTAAAATAATTTTTGCAAGTGCACTCGTTGGAATCGACACCAGCTTGGCGTTCAGGCTACAGCATGGCTTCTGAATTTTTCGCGTGTTAGGAGTGACTAGTTGTGGTCACGTAAAGTATCAAAACATGCTAAATTGACGCTCGTGCGTTGCCGACAGACCTACACAGCATTGAAGGCGTGGAAATATCACGATATCTTGTGCGAGCCCTTGGTCAGGAGCTCTTGATAAGTCTAAAAACTCCTACTGTAGAAACAGCAAATACTTGTTAAAATGCGTTTCAGTTGATTTTTCAGGGCACGCTTAGGCATTGCTGCCAATTCGAAGGCTTTTCTGGGTATTTGTATGTTGAGTCACTGCTAATTATTTGACACTATGTTGAGCTGTGGTGTGGGGAGTATTAGCGGTGTTGTATTGCTTTCTAATGGCAGATCCAGATCCAGATATTGTGGCTTGGGTGAAGCATTCGTAATCTTGGGAGCGTGAACATAGCAGATTGTTAGCAGCTGCAGATTACGAATCTTTCCGTAGATCGAAAATTCTTGATTTGCCGAAATTGGCGGATGCGACCGGAAGTTTGCGTGACGTATTCTGTGCGCCAGCTTTTCTGCACGCAAGGGCCGTTCCGCGCGCTTCCCGCACAGCCACAATGCACGTTCCAGGACCCCTACCGCACAAAAGCTGGGGACAAATAAGCCAATAGGCGACGCTCTTTCACCGTCCGCAGCGTCGCCAACTTGCCGGGACCCCTACCATGCGGTAGGTGTCCCGGCAAGTGCATTGCGGCTGTGCGGGAAGCGCGTGGAACGGCCCTAATGGCCGGATGTCTTCAGTCGCGGGCTGCCATGGATGGCTAAAGGAGGGTATTTCTCACCCCCTCGCACCCCCTTCTAGATTTCCATATACCAAATGCACACGTCTAGTCACGCGTGTTCCAATTGCAGACAAGATGGAAGCAAGCCCACTTAGATTTACGCGTTCTGTTCGCTATTTAGCCGAGCGCTCATAATCCGCCATCGCAATGCAGCATTTGTCATCTTGAGGGTGAATGAACGAGCGCAATTAAGAACAGGTGCCACCTTTATTCACCCTCTCTCAGCCTACCTTTAGCAGACAGCTGCATTATCGGGAGGTTTCAACCGAGCATGTCTCTTAGCACGCCTCCGAACGGGTCCCCTTTTCCACCTACCATCACTAACAATTTCAGTAGGAGATATGGATAGCTCACTCCTTGCTACTTCTTGGCCCGACACTGAACGATATTTAATCATTCATTTGTTTCCATGAAACTACTTATAAAAAGTAGGCGCTTACGGGCGATGCTATCGCTGTGTTCCAGGGAGTCTTCACCGTGGTCTCCTAGGCATGCTCCGTCGCTGTGCGTTGCTGGGCAGCTTCCACTGACGCCAGTGCCCTACGCAGTGAAAAAAAAAAGTTTAGTCAGCTTCGGTTCACGAAGTGTAGCTTTGCGAGTCACAAATGCTTTGTGGATATGCCTCAAAATGATCTCTGTTCGTTTACTACATTCATTAGCGCTGTCATGTGACTCGTTGCCTTACCTCGGGACCGGTGTCCGTCTTGTCCTTGTAAGCCGAGGCCACGGTCGCTGCTCTACGCAGGGTTCCTATTTTGACCGGAAGATCAATGCGCTCTCGCATTCCGGGCAGCCATCGATACACCGCGTAGCAAGCAGCGCAGAAAATAAAACAGCCTACAACCATTCGAAGTGCCATTTATCTCGTGTTCGCCTATAAACTGTGGCGCATACCCAGTGTGGGGGATTAGCGGAGTCAATCGTTTGTGTGTAGCCTGGAAACCTTGGCACTTATCCACTCTGGGGCATCGGCCAAGAAAACATATAATAGCCTATGGACTGTAACTGCACTATTGCTTACCCCCCGAAAAATAATAATGTACGAGGAAGTAGACACTACAAAAAAATGAAGATCCAGGGAGTTAGAAGAAAATAGAGCGAAAAAAATGAGCACTATAACAATAACTCTAATCTGATTTTTGGAGCCGACTGGACAGCTGAGTTGGCCAAACATGATTAATTTGGGATATTTGAGTTATATTTATTCGCACTTTAAAAATTACTTCTGACTCATTTTTTCTCGTATTTGTCAAAGTGGGCATTATGTTTAAATACATTTAGTAGCTTGAATGAAATCACACACCACATCAAATAAATCTCTGTGGCTATGTCCCAAAACGGAGGCACCGAAATTCAGAATCGTTTCAGTGAATAAGTTTAAACCTAGCTTCGCAAACGGAATAGCTAGTCGTCTTTTCCTAATTACCTCATAGTTACAACATGATAAAAATAATGTTCAACACTTTCCGATTCCTCGCAGGACGGAATATGCGGGAATACCGTCAAAACATCTCTGTTTCAAAGGAATTCTTCTGATTTTCGACCTCCATAGATGTTACACATCCATGGGAGCAGATTGGCAGAGTAGGGGGTGAATTCTTTCCATGTTGTGTGCACTACTTATTTTTTGGCGTGCGAATAATTAGTTATTGATTTCACATGTCGATTGCAGTAATAAAAGAGCTTACGCACGCCGACTTTAGCAAGATATTTTTTTTTAATCTTAACGGTATATTCCTGAACGGCACAAAGACAGCCCTGTGGTTGCAGCATCCTGCAGGGGCCCCAAAAGAAAGAAGAAATGATCTATATTTCCAGAAAACTATTGCACTCTTTTTGATTCGCGTCATTGTGCTGTTGGTTATAGAATTCATTTCCGAAACCTCTAACAGAGTCATTAAATCACTTCTTGGCAAATCCCTCTGAGTGGGTATGAGCCATTTTAGAGGCAAGAACCACAACAGCAATCAAAATTTGCATTTTCCACGATGCCCTGGCCCGTACATGCCTAGCAGAGAAATCGCTATAAGACTCCTGGTCTCTGAGGCCTTCTTTATAGCAATACCGGTTGTCTCGACAGCTAACAAACCCTACCGAAATGCGAGAGAGCAGCGCAGGGGATAAGAAAAGGCTGATTCCAACCCAGTATTCGAAGTGGTCCATCCCAAATTTTGCGTGAGTGCCATCAGCAAAAAGATATCATTATCATGATCAGCATAATCATAATTGTCATCATCGGAGAGGTGGTAGTAGTATGCTCTTCCTGAATGTACATTAGCGGCGATAAGATTAAAGAAAGATGACCAATAATTTACTCGAGATTACGAAAAAGCACAGAGGCCAAGTCTACTTAACCTTATCTATGAATGTACAAACTGAGGGAGTTAACGTAGAAATGAAATTTCGTGATGGGCGACTCCCTCCCTCCTTTAATTAGTCTAAGCCGTGCCAAGGCAATAAAAGGGGGTTGTACTCAAGAAAAGTAGTAAGCACTGAGTGTGGCAAAATTTGTCCGATTGTAAGTGTGCGAAATTGTACCACCGTGATGCGTTACCGTTAGTTGGAAAGCAGGAAAGATCGGTGCAGGAAGCTACGTCTCTGCAAAAGAATCAGCCACTTCACTTGTAAAACAAACCTTTGCGGCCAGGTATCCAACTGAATGAGTATGTTGTAAATGAGAGGGAACGTAATTTAAATTGAGTATAACCGTGTCATCGCATGTAGAAAAAAGATCGCAAAGAGAATGAGTCATCCATAATTAGCTAGGATAGCATTGAAGTACTTAATTTTCGCGAAGATAATATTATTGCCGTTAATCCAATAAGAAAGATGGGATTAAGATCTAGCAAGTGTAGGGATAATGACCAGTCCAGCTCGGGGCAAAACATTGCGATGCTAGATCATTGCCGACACTGCGATACGTCCGTCGCAATAACAACATTTGTTTGCACATGTGTTGAGGTGCTTTTCGAGAGGTCATTTGAAATGCGCAGAGATAATAGTTGCGCTTATTCGAAATAATATCGTGGTACACAGTTTATGGAAAATTATGTTGCGCGGAGTATACAAAGGACATCCCTCATTTTCGCATTTACTGGATCACGTATTGATTAGATAGATATACTCGCAGTTTCTGAAATCTAGGTCAATCTACGGAGAAAAAGATCTGGATGAAAAATTTAAATTATTCTACTAGCGATTACAGGCTGCTTCCTGCACTCTAAGAAGGTTCAAGTGACATCAAAGCGGTCGGTTTTCATGCGTCTAGGCATTATATTATATTTTCAGCACGATTTTGGAGGCATCAATACAGCCGTAAATGTTCTCGCGGTAATAGAACTAGCGGACAAAGCTTCTAGGCTGGCACACCACAAAAAGAAACGCAGCCGAGTGCTATCACCAGCCTGAGATAGATATTATACTGTTATGTAGCAATATATAAAGAACACTGTTTTCCTCCTTATGATCGAAGAAAAGACCCATCAAACGTACTATGGCGGTGCCGATTGAGTGGTACATTATACGTAACTTTCAATATTTTAATTAATGTATTTGCGGTATATTATGGGGCCTATATATATATATATATATATATATATATATATATATATATATATATATATATATATATATATATATATATGGTCTAAAACAGGCAAAAAAGAATAGGATCGTCATTAGCGTTCAATTTGCATTGATAATCACAAGCCGAATTCTCGTGCTTCTTTAGGTATGCCGGCCAGATATTTTAACAATGAATGGTATTGGTCATAGCAAAGAAAGCAGTGTGTTTTGCTTAAACATGTATTCACCACTGTCGGAATGGGAATAGTGATCAGCAAAACGGTAAAAAATTGTAGAAAAGGGGTTGACCACAGAGGTAAACCATGGGTTTGTTTCTGTTTGGAAGAAAGCATGCAGTCTTGCAAAACTAGACGTCTCCAACATGCTACATTGCTTTACATGTCTAAGATAACTAGTTTGTTTTACACCCATGTTTGAAAAACAATCGTGAAGAAAGTTCAACACAAAGGAGGAAGGAGACGTGACGTGCCTTTGTGTTGTGGATTTTTAGATTTTTTTCAAGCAATATTCTGCACACACTTGCCCAACCATCCAGCTTGTTTTAAATCCCCATACTAACATGATTAGTGAGAACACACAGTGATTCCAAAAAGAAAGTAGAGCGGATGTTGTTAGTACTGAACGTACTGAAATATAACTGAAAATTTAAAAAAAAAGTGGACGAAAAAGACAACTTGCCGTGGGCAGGCAGTTAACCTGCGACCTTCGAATAACGCCTCCCATGCTCAAGCAACTGAGATATTAGGGCGGCTATACCCCCTGCCTCCCTCTTCCACTTTATGGGCATTTAAGCGTCCGAGCATCACTCTTGTGCCGCCAGTAGACATGACATCGAGTGTGAATTACTTTTTTTCGGCCTGTTGGCGTCACGTAGAGCGTGATATTATGTCGACCAAGCAGCTAAATAATAATCTCTGAACCAATTGAGGGTGCTTCGATCAGTCCGAACTGGGAGATGCGATCGGCTGCACGAGGTTTGACTGACCATGTGCCGGGTACCGCGTCATCTTCTGGGCGATCCGAGCCTCTCTGCACGTACAACGACGCATGCAAGCACCGTTATCTTTCAAGAAGGACGCTGCCCCTGCCACACTCCTCGCTGTGCAGAGCCCAAGCTGTTACTCCCAGACCGTCCCAAACACGAACCTACCCGAGCCCTGTGCCACGACAAACAATATACCCCGAACGGTTCTCAAGTCCCGGATTGCCTCTTGTGTGGTGGTTATGCGGACTTCGAGCATGTCATGGGTGTCGTGCATTCGCCGGCCCCCCTTTCCAACAAGAGGAAATTAACAAGCCGATTAAGACCAAGGGCCTCACCTCTCAAATCTTGGCTGTCCAGGGGCCAGCGCGTGGCTGGTCAGGTTTCACCTGACCGTCCACGAGTGGGCCTAGCCAGGTGACGATGACTTAACTCACGTCTATTGTGGACCTCATTAAGGTATTTCACTCACTCACTCACTCACTCACTCACTCACTCACTCACTCACTCACTCACTCACATACTACCCCAAAGTATTACGTCTGCCAGAGCAACCTCTTGGAAATAATGAACACGTTGAATATTACGGCTTTCTGCAACCATGCTCGTACCCAACAAAACTGACTTCTTAAACGTTCAGGGACAGTGGTCACTACAGGGCAACGATGACGCATACATCTAATGGTCGCGTAAAATGTGCGTAAAAGGTGCCACCCATTTTGTACTCGCGCGACTTCTGATGAGGGAAGACTTACCATGGTATCACATGGCTACGCCATGTTTAATACCTTCGGAACGTTGTGAAAAACGGAGACGTTTGTGGTGCCTGTTCTTATTTCTTCTGAACTTGTCTACACGCATAGTATTAGAACATGAACTTCTGTGTTTGTCAGATCTTTCAACCACAACCTGCGTTCGCTATGTACTAAAATTACCTACTCCTAAATGATTCGTTCTTTTGTGGTGCTTTTCATGGGACCGCTTTGTTGGAATTGAACCGGCGTATGTATCCAACTGACTTGCTCTTACAGTAGAAACTCGATATCCATGCACTCTGCATGCTTTCATTGAAAGTAAAGCCAATGTATTTCATTCGTCGGTATCGGAAGTGTGCTATAGTAGAAAAAGCACACACACACAAAAAAGACATATTCTATAAGTGTTAATTCATTTCTACGAATATTTTCTGCTTCCGGCGATCTGTTCGTTGGGAATCCAAGGTGCCACAAATTATGGCCATCAATTTCTAGGAGGCTTGGATGCCGGGCTCGTGCTTACGCGTCGTTCTGCACGCGATTCGAG